TTCAACGATGAAATAATTTTAGTACTATATTTAAAAAAAAGAAAAAAAATACATTTCCCTGAAGATAATATTTCCAGACTGCATTAATTTTGTAAAATAATTATCTTCAAATCCTTTCATGAAGCAAAAACTCACTTCAAAAGTCGACAAAGACAATCGTCGTATATCCAATTCCTCAAGACTGTCCGCAATACCTAAGAAACTTGTGTTGCTCACAGCCGTAATGGGGTTATCCGCTAAATTAAAAGTTTTCAATTCAGGTAGGGTGTGCGTGATCAATGGTACTACTGTCAGATCATTGGCACTCAAGTCCAAGTAGTGCAGGGACGTCAGGTTCGATGCCATTTCCGGTGGTATCGATGCCAACTCATTGTGCGCCAAATACAATGTTTGCAGTCGTCGCAGTGGTAATTCTGGCACCTTTAAATGATACAGGTGCAATGAACAGTTACTATTCTTTTCAATAGTAGACAAATATGAGTAAACATACACTTAAAAGTGAAATATTGCTTAAATCAAGATACAGAAGCGAGTCCTCCAAACCGTGGAACGTTCTTCCACGTGATTCCAAGAGCAGTTGTTTGTTGTGACTCAGATCGAGATGAGTTAGATATGGTAAATCAGAGAACACTCCATCATCAAGCCTAACTAATCGATTATAAGACAGATCCAACCATGTTAGACTCTGAAACAAATAGAATACAAATATTTTTCCACCTATTGTATGAGTAAATCAATTATTAAAATCTCTACATTTTCTATATTGAGTTAATTAGTACTTATAATATTTTCTCTTTAAATTTTAAACAAATTCTGTCGCTAAAATTCTATCAATAATTCAAATTTTCGTGAAGCATACTATACATTAATTTTAGAATACAAATTACGAATTCTTTCTAACTTAAGGAATTGAAATTTATTCATAGAATGCATGAAACCTACTCTTAGTCTAAATATAGCATCCGTAGTATGGATGCCCGACAGAGTATTCCAAGACAAATCCAACATGGACAAACTAGCAGCCGCTGAGATGGACATTGTTTTTATAGGTAGCCTCATGAATTGATTATGAGACAAATCTAAGCTTTCTATATTCGCATCGGCAAACATGTTATCAGGCAGTGTTCTTAATTTATTATGGGAAAGATCGACGATCCTCAGCTTCTTCAGCGATCTGAGCGCTTCAGCCGGAATATCCATAATATTGTTCCACGAGAGAAAGAGCACTTGGATGTTTTTCGTATTTCTGAAGCAGTCGAAGTCGATTTCCATCAGCTCATTGTGACTTAAGTCAAGCCATTGCAAGTGTGGCATATTTCCGAAGACACCTTGGGTGACGTTGCTCAGTTGGTTGTGAGATAGATAGAGATGCGTTAAGGAGTATTCGACCGGTTTAAAGTAATACTTCATTATATCCGATATGTTATTGTAGCTCAGGTCGAGGACTTTGATGTTTGATTGGATTGTGCCGCCAACTGTAATACGGTGGAAAGACATTTAGAAACATAGTTAATCTTGTAAGTAAATTAGTAAAGGTATATATATATATTATATATAGTATATAAATGTATATACTAACAATGAATGATGTCTGCTGGAGATACGTATAGATCGGAATACGTATTAAAAAGAGATAGTAAGATAATAAGGTCACATTTTGTAAAACCATCGTTCTCAATTTTTATATATTTAATTTTAAATTTGTTTTAATTGTTTGTTACTTAGAGAATGTTAGATGCCATTAAAATTTCCACTGAAATTTCTATAGTTAGAAACTTAATCATTTAAGTAAGAAAGGGAGAGAAATCTTATCGAAAAGTGCTAAATAATGAATTCGCGCTTATTTTTATTTACACTGAAAAATGTCAGATGGCGCGATCGTGTGATGTTTACCTTAAGTGTTTATTAATAAAACCGAAGAAGCGCTGCGATAGAATCTGAATGCATCGTCAATTACGTATCACGACACGATACAGTAGCACATTTCGATATAAGATCTGAACATCGCGATCATGCTGTATCGCACTCAAGCTGTTAATAACGACACAGGAAAACAAACAAAAAGAAATTATAATAGAACCTCGATTATTGTAACCTTAAATGTTGCAATCTCGTTTGTTGCATTTTGGTAGAAATAGTAATGCTTATCGCGAAGAAATATAATCAACAGAATTGTGATCACTAACATGACAATTATTTATCTCGATTCCTTATAGAAACTTCGATATTTCGATGCATTTTCAATTCGACTTTATGCAACAATCGAAGTACTATTATAAGACTTTTCTAATTTTTCAATACTAGTATCAATTAAAGCACTGAAGTTTCCACAATTACAAGCTGAGTGATGACATAGAAAAATGAACACTGAACGGAAAGTTTGAAAACGAAAGTCAATGATTTATATATATATAACTATGCTTCGAATTATATTAAAAGTAAGATGTTCAAAATCACATGATGTGAAATATGATACGAGCTCAAATTACCTGATATCGAAGCTTGTAAAAACTCAGTATCGTTATTCGAACAAGTTTCTAATATTAGATTCCTGAATTTTTGAGATCACACCAAATATTTCTCACGGAAAAAGATTCAAGGAGAAACTATTACGATCCCGTGACACGTTGAACAAGATATTAAGGAATTAGAGCTCGTCGATTTTTATCAGCAAAGGACTTCATCGACTTTCGTTTAGCAGGCTTAGAGAAATCTGTTTGAGTCTTTTACCTAGAGACTTCCACAATGGACTTACTGGTGGTTGGTGGCGTGAATGTGGTGCTGTTGATCCACAATTTCGGGATTTCATTATGGCTGGCATTCACTTTGAACGACGATAGAGTTCCAACTTGGTCGAACGAGGCAAAATCGAACTCGGTCAAGTCGTTGTAGGCGAGATCGAGAAATTCCAAATCTGGCAGATTCTTGAAAGTAAATAATCATTTTATTGAATCGATTCGACATTAAGAAGACATTTAATAAGATCAGTTACGATAATATACTTTATTTTACTGCATCCTTCCTTTTTTCTATATTTATTAAATATATTATTATTTACTTTTTCGCTATAAATATATTAAACATATTAATTATAAAATATAAGATCGTTGAATTAATTAAATTGAATAACTTAAATGTTTCTGTTTAGGGTAACAATCATGTAATAAATTTATGAATAGAATATAGTAAGTAAAATTTGGATACCAAAAGGAAGGACTTAATACCTGGAATGCTTCATCAGTGATGTCCCTTATTTTGTTACCCCGTAGGTTAATATACTTCAGTAGTTTCATGTTCATAAACGCTCGTCTCTCGATTCTATCTATAGCGTTGTCCTCTAAATTTATCATCGTTAATTTTGGCAGGTCGACGAACGTGTGAGTTTGAACCGTCTTGATCTTGTTGAACGAGAAATTCACTTCTTCCAGGTAGGAGTGTATATCGCCCTGAATCAATTAAATATCAGAAAATTAATCACGGATTAAATTAAGTAAGGCAAAATTGATAATCAGAATAAATAGAAAATTATAAAGTAAAATTAGTAAATAAAATTAATAAGTAAAATTAACAGATAAAATTTAAAAAACTGCAAATGAAATCAAAAGAAAGTTAAATTAGTAAATACAATAGAGAATAGTAATTCGTACCTGGAACGTTCCCTTTCTGATATTATCGATTTCATTATCCTGCAATTCCATACGTTTAATTCTCTTCAGGAAGTGAAAAGACGTATCCGGTAGCGATTTTATTTTATTGTTACTAAAGTCAAGGTGTTGTAGATTCGTGAGGAACTTAAATGGTGTACTGGGTATTTCAGATACGGAAGAGGCTAAACCATGAGCCATTCTCAACGTTAGAAGCGAATGACCAACCTGGGGAAAAATTATCGAAGAAAAATTAATTTAATCGGATGAAAACTTCTCTTCCTATTAAAATCATGTTACAGAAGTGAAACGTGTAAGATATATCGTATGTTCGTGAATAGGTCAAGTACTATCTGTATAAGTGATTCTTCATAGAAGCCTGTTTTATTGGAATTATCCACGGCTATCAAGGTCTCTGACTCGGGAACGGGGTTCGAATCTAGTTTAATTAAATATTAGGGCAAATTACTGATTCTCCTAGATTATGATTTTATACGGTTGCTCAATTAATAACGAAGTCGGGGCACGTAAGAAATTAATTAATTGTTTCTATTTCTACGTAAAATATCAGAAAAGAAATTAAAAGACTGTGAACAGATTAAAGGATAAATACAATATGAAAACTACACTCTATTCGATTGCTTATTTTGCAATAAGCATTATATGACTAATTGTCATTGAATAAAACTATTTAAAAGTAAACGAATGCAATGCAATTTATTTGACAAATCCAATTTAGTAATCGTATTTCATTAATTTACACATTTCGCAATTAAATACAAATATGTTATATATAAACTTTAATTAAAATTATATCAAGTGTAATTACATTGTTATTCGATTCGCAGAAAATCGACAAAAGAAGCAACAAGAAAATCAGTTATCTACAACGCAATATGCATTGCGACACCACAATGAAATATAGTGATACTATAGTTTAACTTCGCGACTTGCAAAATAAGAAGCAGTTATACTTATTAATATACATTACTCGAATATACGTATTCGAATATACGTTTCCTGAGGTCAATACTCACTATTCATATACTACAAAAACTAAAATAAATCGTGAATAACTTTACACGGCCTCTAAGCTCAAATTAGACTGTGCCGATTTATATTTCTGTCCTACCAAAATTCTACGATTTGGATTCCAAAAATTTCATTAGAATATATCGATCTCGACTTCATTGATAAACATTAAATAGTAACCAGGGTACATGAATTTATCAAAAAATAAATATACGAAGAAAATGAAATTACCTCTGAGAAAGCTTCGTCTTCTATGGAGGTGATCGAATTTTCCGAAAAATCCAGGTACTTGATCCCTCTTACGTGCATGAAAGCGTGACTTTTGATGGTGTTCATATTGCTTTGGACTATACGAAGTTCTTTGATGTCCATCCCATACTCCATAAAATCGTCTGGTGATAACGTCGACTGTGGCATCTTCGAGATCGAAAGGAATCTCATGTTTCTCATCTGTCGTAAATCCTGAAGGGACACCACGCTGTTCTCCTTGCCACTCAGATCCAGATTATACAGAGAGTATTGGAAACCATTGAATACTTCAGCTAGTAAAACGTACATAAATTATCGATAAATAAAGTTGAATTAATCAAAGATAAAGGAAACATAACTACGTTTCATTTTAATCTTGAAATAATGCTAAATTTACAAGATCAATGAACATGGCTGATTTCTGACATTTTGCTTTTGCAATTAATAAGACATACAGATGATTTTGTCAAAGTGAATGTTGACGTTTAAGGTATAACATTTTTAAAATGTTCTTTATTTTTTTATTTTCATTGTGCCACTTTAATTATTATTGTCTGTATATACTATATTTAAGTAAAGATTACAGGTTGGTAGTTCTAATGTTAAGAAAACCCCTCAGTTATCTTGGAGAAGTTATTGATGATGTCAAATTTGCGTTACTTAGTAATAAATAATTAGGGGATTCTACGTAAAAGAACAGTATCACGTTAAATAGAAATATAAAGAAAAATTGACATTAGTTAGCAACCAGTGAAACAATAAGAAAAGATATAAGAAAAAATATAAAACTAAAGAAAAAATTAGGAATGAAGTGTGATTGCAATGGTAAATAATTGATAAGATTAATTGATATTCTAAAATTTTTCACTTTACCCGGCTGAAGGGTCTGAATCTTGTTCTCACGGAAGATCAGAGTGCGCAAAAAATCGTATTCTTGAAAGATAGGACTTGGAAGATTAGTAATATTATTCCCTGAGAGATCCAGCAATTCGAGGGACGATTCCAAGCCAGAGAAATCAGGCGAACTGACCTCTAATAGATCGCAATCGTTAAAATAAAGTTCCCGTATTCTCGAATCCCTGAATGTACCCTCCTAAAACACATAGTTCAAAATTGTCACTTATCTCTGGATATTTTATTAGAATATTATGTTTCAGATTATATTTATTGCAAAATAAATTTTCAATATGACAGAAAAATATCTCAAGAAACCCTTTAGATGTTCAAAATCAGATAGAATTTTTAAAAATAAATTTAATACAAGTTTTTTCTTTTATTGAAACCTTACTTTTTAAATAAGTTTCAAATATTTCTATTATGTTTTAAATATATTTTTTATGAACATTTTGCTTTCTACTTTTTAGGCACCCATCTTTTGCTTTCTACTATAAAAACATTATGCCATATATGTTTCATTGTCCGTAAAGGATTAAGAAGCATTACATCTTTCGGAAGACTTAATTATCTATCTTCCAAACAAATTATAACACTTCAAAAATCTCACCTCGATCATAGTCAAGGGATTACCATCGAGATGTGTTCTGTTGACTTTATAAAAATGTTGGAAATCCCCAGACATCAGTGTCTCGATTTGATTATTATCCAACCGCAATATATCCAGCGACATCTGAAGCCCTCTGATTTCCGGTTCTTGTTGCGTGTTAAGCATCTTCGATATCCTGTTGTAACTTAGATCCAACACCTTCATGCGCTTCAGAGATGATAACTGCGCGTAGGGAATATGAGTCAATTGATTTCCGTTCAGGTACAGGTATACCAGGTGTGCCATGCCATCTCTGAACACGGAAGGATCGATTTCTTTCAGGTTGTTCTCCCTCAAGTCGAGCATGTCCAAATAAGTGAGGCCTGCGAACGCGTCCGCCGGAAGTTTGTCGATGGCATTCCGTCCTAGTCGCAGCTTTTGCAGAGAATTCTCCAGACCACGCCAATTGTCTGAGGAAATCTTCGATATCTTGTTACCTGCAAATGTTAACAACTCATAATTACCAAAATCAATGACATGTGACTGTAGGTATTTTATTTTCGATTACTAGAAACGTGTAGACCTTTTTAATAAAGTTAACGTTAATCTTCTTTCAGGCATTTAATATGAATTACCAAAGATAGCGAACATATTAAAAACAGGAAGATACCTGTCAGATCGAGAAGTTGTAATTTCTGCAAATGTCTGAATGACCTGCTGGGAACTTTTTCCAGGCGATTGTAGGGTAATTCGAGCTCCCATAACGATCTCTCAAGCCCTAGGAAAGCTTCGTCCGGGATGTCGGCCAGAGGATTATGCTTGATCCGTAGGTTGTATAGACCTGGAAGATAGGGGAATGACGTGTATGTGAAAAGTAAACTGCCACGCATAGTATGTAACGTAACGTAATCGATGATGCAAGGAATTATTCTGGCGCGGCCAATGCCCCTTAACCTCTATTCCATTCTTCCCTTGATCGACGATCTATCGGAAACCGTACTCTCAGTGTAATCCTCTGTACGCAAAGAGGTTAAAACTATCGAAGCTAAATTACTTCCTTCCTTGATTTACTTGTTTCCTTCGTTATGTTCTAACAAGGAAAAATAATCTTTTCTATTATTTAAATTTTCGTAAACATAAGGCATTACTGCTTTGATACTTTAGTAATAAAGTTTCAACCTTTTAGTAGGAATGGAGGTATTTTTACTGAAACTTTTAACTCATTCAACTCGGATTTGAAGAAGACTATTCCCATCATCGTTATTAAATTCTCTTCTAGTTTTTACCCGTATTCACGAGAAATTGTGGCTGCAGAAACATCAATCCGTTGTTCTCCAATTGCAGCATGAACACCTTGGAAGAATTTATCGGTTGAGGTATCCGCGGCATCGGCACATTGTAACAGGTGACTATACCCAGATCGGGAATGGCTTTCGAACAGGTACAAAGGGGGTTGAAAAAACAGGGTGGATATTGCACAGGAAGCTCGTGCATCCGAGCCATGGACGCCCACATCATCAGCAACAGGGTAAAAATCACCAGAGCGTAACCCACCTTCACCATCGTTGTTAAATGCTGCAAGTACATATTGTTCCTTTGTTTATCATTTTATTATATTTTATGGCATATTAATACTTAAATTAAACAGAAAAATGTATTCTTCGAATGGCTGATGCGTCTGAATTTCTACCCACATTATTATCTTACTAAATATACTATTGTCTTTTATTTTAAAATAAATTTAAAACTTTTTATTTAATTTTTACTTTAATTTTGATCTTTTTTTTTCAAAATAATTATACGATTTGATATAGTAAATATTTGACACAGATTGAATTGGTAAAGAACACTATGAAGTATCTGAACATATTGTTTTCGATGTTAATCAAAATAATTTAAAATCGATATTTATTTTATTAAATATTAATTACAAAAATGCATTTTTTCCGTTTTAACAATATTTTTTAGAAAACTGTGAACTGTGAAAATAAGTAGTATATTTTCTTTAAATAAAATTCTTATTGTCCCATTTTATCGTAATATGACGACAACTCGATACTATAAAATAATTAATACTGTTAGATAAAATAAATCGATATTGATGACTTCCTCCAAATAATACACTCTCGTCATAGATAATCGAACTTTAAGCAGTTTTTCGCAAACAAGCCAATTATCAAATGTCACTGTATAATCCTCTTAACATCGACGCACGTGGTGATTATCGTGGTATAATATACCACCTGCGTCAATATAAGTAAAAGTTTAAGGAAAACTTGCCTATTTTCCATTACTTTATTAATATAAATATCGTCCGAACCTTCACGAAGTATATATAATTAACTAAAAATTAATTAATCAGAAATTAATTTCTTCGAAACTTAGGAAAAATGTTGAAATATTGGAAAAAAAATATTCATACTATTGAACTATTAACATGCATACAAATTGAAATTAATAACCTAGCAAAATAGATGTATGAAAAGCATTCGTATAATTTATTATATAAATACATATTTAATTATTACCGAAAGTAAATTATCTTGTATTATAATTCCGTTTATTTTTCGATTAGTATTACCACAGTAATAATACTATTAATGATACAACCTTTGATGATGTTTCCAAATAAATGTGTATAATTAAACATTACTCGAAATTAATCCTGTTATATTTACACAATAAAATTTAAATCTAGGGTATAATAAATTATAACTGTTGGAATACTTATTACACATCTATTTCTTCTATTTGGTAATTTTTATTCATATTTATGTAAACAATATGAACATTTTTTTTTATTAAATTTATACATTCATTTAAAAATTTGGAATTACATATATAATATGTTTGGATATAGATTTAGATTTCTTTATTATTCTTTATTTTTAGAATAAAAATTGACATTATTAAATTATTCAAGATACAAAAATTTATTATTAAATAGCTGTAAAAAATTAAAATTTCTTTATCAGAAAAAAGTGAGAAAAAATTTGATACTGACAGAATACACTAATTGTTAAATAAAGCCATGTTATCATGAAAGAAATGAATTATTGCAAGAAATATGATAAAACATTATAAATTACTGTTTACAAAATTATTCATAATGATAAAAGAATAAGATATGTTTATCACAAAGGAATGAACAAAACAAGAGGATAATAATAAAAGTTTATATCACCATACAAAAGAATTATAAAGAAAAAAGATATGATAAAACTTTATGGTTTACTATTTATAAAATTATTCATTAAATTAAGCTGAGGTTAAATTTCAGTAATAGATTAATGATGGATAGAAAACAAACATATCTTAAGAAATTGGTTTTATTTTATACCATTGTACTTTCTTTCAAAATCATGATTGCATATATGCATAATTATATAGATATACGCCAAACAGAATTCAAACATTCGCATCAGTTACTTTCTAATAATCAAATCTATAGAAGCACATATTTTTCTTGGCCAACAATAAAAAATGAATCTTTTTGCCAAGAATTTTACATAAATGTACAATGTAAGAAAATGTTCTCTGTTAAACAACTACTCCAATCATTCAACTAACAATACCACTCCCACAAACTAAATCATGAAGTAAACAAAGTATTCTTGGTTGTGCAAAGGATAAAACATTGCTTTTCAAAGAAACAAGCACAATGCATGAAATCACCACTGCCATAAACCTTCATATTTATTTAACATTCCTTCCATCAGAAACACATTAGACCCTTCATACCGCACAAATCTCTTTCCTCTTTCTTTTCCAACCTTTTTTGAAACTAAAATCCGTAACGTTTCACTGTCCTTTGCACATCCACGATTTGAATAATAAACAGAAATTTTACCATAATTCCATGGACCAAGAGAACACTACCAGAGAGTCTCTATCGGAGCTCACGATCATGGGATCGTCGCGCCTCGATCACGATGATCGCACTGAGGATTTTACTACCTAAGTGGCCGCCAGTACCCTATGTAATAGGGCTTCGGGAGTGCCGTCAGTTTCGGTGCTTCTCTTTACCCGATTATAAGGACGATATTCCATTAGGCAGCGAATGAAAATAGTCGCACAAAACGTCAGTGAACGTTCGAATTATGACTATAGTTATTTGAGGGTACGCAGGCACGTGGGTCGCAATGATAACGTCATTGATCGGATTTTACCAGACCACTAATATATTTGCATACATTTCGTATAAAAGTTTTAGGTAATCAACAAAATTTTATTAATATTGTTAGTATATCGAAGCTGGTAGACATCATTGAAAATTATTTGTAATATTGCACTCTGGTGAGTTTCATTAAATCTATGGTCTATGTACGATTGGTTGTTGGAAGTTGTTATAAAAGAACACGTGTTAAGGTTTGGTCTAATTTTTTAAGAAAAACAAGTTCTGATAATGTACATATAGATAGGTATTCGTAAATTTAACAAATATTAACGTGAATTTATACTTACGTAAGTTTCACATTCTAGAAGCCGAGCATTGTATAATTTTTTGTAATTAGATTTTGACACGATATTTTTATCAGCATCAACAAAATGCTCGGAAGTAACGTTTTATAAATAAAAATTTGTAATTTATTTTAAATCATTCATAATATTATGATATTACTAAACGTGTAAAATTGCAAAAATTACTTGCAATCGCTTAAAATTAAAACCATATCTCGTTCTACTCGAACATCGCTATCTGTTACTCATTAATATAAACATTGCGAAGAGCAAAAAAATAAGGAACTTACTGAAATAATAATATTTACTGCAACGCCCAGGTTTTCGTCTATTGGCGAAATTGTGAAACAACAAAGTATCAACTTCTCAATGTATGCATGAGACACTCATAAGTATATGATTACTCACTCACATTATATAAAACAAATATACTTTTTACACGCTCGACATAGAATTTGTACTAGTAATACGTCGTAACAATAAATATTGCACGTATATATGTGCGTGTATATATAATATATACATAATATTTATATGAATATTAAAACATTCATAAAAAATATATATCTCTTGTGTGATCATCCCTTTTTTGGCCACATCGAAGTAGAGTTCACATAGATTTGCGTGCAGTTCCATTGATTAATTCCTGAGAAGTATTCGATTCTTTCTCGGTAATTTTCTTGTGCGATGAGACTTTCGGAAGACGTGGTGCGATTAATAGTATAGCTAAACCGATTATATGTAGAAACAGGTATACAGACCTAGAAGAGGAAAATATATTAGTATATCATGATTTTCTTGCAATTACACACATAAAGCAAAAGTAGTACAATTATTACTTACAGGTACATCATGATACTTGGCATAAATTCCAAGAGTATAAAGCTGAATGTTATGTAGGCCATCAAAATTCGCGTTGAAATAAACGTAAGCGCATCGTAAAGGAACTTCATTCTCTTGGAGACAAGGAAGTATGGTCGTATATTACGACGAGCCTATTGTAAAAAATAAACAAAGGCTTGTTACTAATCAAGTAATAACAAAATATTACATTCAGTACTATTACAAATGTTTCTTACGGCTCGTGCCACTAAAGTGAAAAAGGCTCCGTTGGCGAATGTTAAATAATAACCGGGATAAAATCCATGCCACAAGGCAGAAAGGGCATATGTGAATACAAGTTTATTGTGATCTACCCTTTCATATACGATCGACCTAAGCCATCTATTAGTTCCTTTATTCCAATGTTCGATACTCTCTTTTAAATTAAGAGACATCTGAAAGATAAAATTATATTTAGAGCACAAAGTACCATAAATAATAAAACGACTATTTAAAGTTAAATAAATAAACGTATAGATTGATGAGTAAATATATCATAACTTCTGTGATGAGCTCAATGAATTAAGTTTAAGCGATGTCGTCACTGCCAAGATAATGATGTCATGTAAATATATCTATACTGAAAGCTTTCGAAAATAATTCGGCTAAATTTGATGTATAATCTATTTTAAAATAGATTCTACTTCTAAACTGTTCGTTATGAAAAATTTACCTCGAAACCATAGACATCAACATTAGAGGCTAAATCCCATTTAGCTTCACCATTCTCGTCATATCCATTAAAACCAATCCCAGAATTATTGCAGATCGCATCGGAGAAGATCCACGCATGATAGTATTTAAAACGAATTAGCATAGTGGTCACCATCAAGTACCACATCTTGTAAAACACCGACGTATTTTGTAAGAAGTCATCGTCTGTAAATAAAATAAAGTTTAATCAGTAGGCGCAACGTGAGGTGATGATGAATATTAAAGAGACACGTGATTCGAACCTTTTAGCTTTTCAATTCGATACGTTGGAAAGAAAATCACGAACATAATCGCGCACAACATGCTCACTACGACCTTCTTTATTACGACCGGTATCGGGGATGGTTCCAGAATTATTTCATTATAACGATCGGAATTTTTATCATAGCCCTTAAAAGAAAAAAAAAATCAAATTTTTACTCTATTCATTGATTCACTGTCTTTTTCTTTTTGCTCTTCGTTGCTGTTATTGAGAGTGGACAGATAAGAACAATGATTGAACAATATTCTAACCGTCAAAGCTTTCGTTCCAGCTAAATTACGTCCATGAATAAAATCGATGTAATCACGATAAAATATCACCGGTCCAACCATCAATGCTTGAAAATGGAAGACGTAGCTGAAGTACTCTAACGTTGTTGGCATCTTTCTAAAATAAGTCATGCATATAACAAACTGGATTTGACCGCAGATAGCGAGCAAATAAAATGATAAATGTAGATTCACCCATAACATGACTACCATTATTCTTGAATAGAAATGAAAGTTACATATGATGCATGCACATGATGTATTTTTCTGGGCATGGCATGTTGTGCATTATATAATTAATGTTGTAGAATAAACGGCCGGTTAAGGAAGACGTCAACTCACTTCACGGCTTGATGACGTTGCGTTGGCGTAAGTTCCTCTTCACGTCGCATTAACCCATCATGTACGCTGTACGCGAGGCTGGTTACTTTCTGCGTTATCACCATAAGTGGTCCTGCAATGCACGAGATGTAACGAGATCTTTATTTAGAAGAACATATTTATTATAAACCATATCCGTCCATGTACTATATCCGTGTTACATATTTATGACTGTTAAAATTTAACGACTGTTAAAGCTCTGACATTATAATAACCTACAAAAAAGAAAATAAATCTTAAGAAGTATAAATAACAGTATCTTTAAATCGACCCTGATCGACGAAACGTTCCGGTAATAAAAGATTTTATAATTTACATTTCGATTTAGTAATCAGCTTGTATCATAAAATAATTATGAAGTACCCAAATTGAGTGAAGTTTTTCCATTATTTAGATCTCTAAAACGATCGCTAATTGCACCGGATCGAATATTCGATAGATCACGTGGTAAACAATCTTGGTTTGACGCGTCATAATCATCTTAAAGATGATACGAGTCTACTTACCAGTAATATCGAGTGTGTACGAGCCGTAATTGTACATCTGTCGATGGTAATGCACGCAAGATAAGTAGAGCAGCGCCGTCGTCAGTACAACCCTGAAACGTATTACAAAGATGAGTTGTTAAGTTCAAGGAACGATCATTGACCGTTAGAACGAGGATAAACGTGAAAAGGCTTCGGCCTTTAACATTTCATGTTCATTTGTAATTCGTAGGTTAAATTAACACATGAGTGTTTCTTTAGTTTATCACTGGGAGGGGTGAAGATGAAAAGGAAAAAAAATCATTTGAATTCTGCATAAAGTTCATTTACTACGATTACTAAGTAAATACAACTCGGATTGAACGAAAGTCATAAAAAACAATGTACACGATGAAGTAAATATGCAAATTTCTTTTATGAATAGATTGAATATAATTATCCTTAATATTACTAAAAACATTAAATGACAATAATATTTTTGCATTTTTGTAGGTTATGTATTGAAAAATATGTTTGTAATTTATTCAAACAAAGGTAAAATAACTCTATTGTTATATTATCTTCGGAACAAAATTACACGTGTTTAAATTTATTAAACTGATAACGTAAGAAACAAGATATTTTACACTCTGATAAAGTTTAGAGCACGCTAAGCGGATATTTGCAAATCTTTATTTATAGAATGCTTGTTCTATTCAATATTCTTCCATGCTCACAAGATGAATATGGCAATTTTGTAAATATTAAACTCTACTGAATTACATATCTCAACATAATTTACATATTTTTGGAGTTAGTGGAACTCTTCCAACTAATCTGGGAATACTTTCTGCATTCATGTATGGAAAGTTACCATGATGTATAGAGTAACCAATATAACAAATTAACATATCTGCAATATGTTTAATTGTAATGAAGGTATCGTTATAAGTAACTTGCCTCTGTATATTACGAGGATTTTGTGTACGCATTGCTATGTAACATAAGGCGGGAAGGCCTGCAAGGTGTATCGCCTGCCTGAAAAGATACGAGTTTCCGTTTTTAATGAAGCAAATTGGTTAAATTAGCGTAGGGAGGGTACATGAAATCCTGCAAACACTTTCTTTTCTCCTGTGCTATGATATGCAATTACTTCTATTGTACAGAATGTTCAATCTTAATTAATGCAATACGTAACGTTATAAATTTTTTTTTTTAAACGTTTTTCAATGTAAAATGAAAATTATTTGTTTACATGCTAGAGTCGAGCGGCCTCATTTAATCTTTGTAATAATTGGCGAGTACTGTATGATATCAAGTATTTATCTCGAACGTACTATAAGCTACGTAATCGTATTTTGCGATAAGGATTAAGCTATATTATATAAAAAGCACTACTTGACTGCAGAAAATATATGGTACATTTTCACGTTGCTTCATTTTACATTTCTATTAGAGCTAACTCAAGATTGCATTTAATGCATTTTGCATTAATTAATCGTGAACACCTCGTACATAGCATGAGCGTAGAACGAACTTTCTGCACAACACTTCCATGCTTATCAAAGCTACAAGCTTTTCCTGAACTAATTGATTTATCTTTATTCACGTAGGTTTGTTTACCTGCCAAAGCAGAAATATCCAAGCATGAGGCCGATGACGAGACCAAATACATGTCTGGTTGCTGGTGTTACGGTAGCAGGACTAAGAAAAGTTCTTAAAAATCCAGCCAATATCAGTGCTGTGAACTGTGTTAGTAGAAAATTCACCTGCACACAAAGGAGAAAATATACGTGTTATGTTATTGGTGAATGTAACACTGCATAAAAATATAATAATATTAAAAAAATAATATAATTTTCAAATTAATTCTATTTATTCCGTTAATGTTCACTTTAAGATGTTTAAATAGTAATTAGAAATTTGTTAAATATTACTGTAACAAATTTTTATACTAGGGGAACATTTGACGTTATTCGATAATATTTTAATTAATCATGTGCAAAAGATATCATATTTAAATAAGATTTTCTTCATTTCCAGATTATCAATCCTAATCTTAACAGATGTTAGAGTACATCAGATTGTCTCAGACTGATTAAACAATCAGATCAATTGATTTACAAAATGTCGAAGTGGATGTTGCCCAGTTCGCCATTGCAGATCGATTATAATCGCAAACGAATGATAATATTATGCCATGTGTAAAAGTATTCTTTAATTTTTTATTACCAAACAGCGTGTTCATGAGAAAGCTGTTCAACTTTATCAGATACAACGTCCATCAAACGTATAGCAGTGGTAGATAATTATACTGACATGTAAATACACTTTGCTGTACTGATTACTTTAATAAGCAACCAGTGCAGGTCACATAAAGACTATTTCTTCTTCAAATACGAATTATAATGATTACAGTAAGTTTTACAAAAACATGACACACAAACTTCAAGATAAATGTATAATCATATTACGAGTAAAAAGTATCACTTCTTCCCGTAACATTTTTTTGTTATGTTAAGAAAGTCCCTGAAACGTCAAATGATACTTAAGGAAAGATATATATAGGTATTTGTGTACACATGTCAAATAACACCTATTTGCATTGTTGCTTTACTACAAACAATTTATAATCTTATCCACACTAATATTCTATGATTGACTATTTGAAAATGAAAACGCAGTAATTTATATTTGTTATCAGAAATTTCTCCTATTTCAAACATTCCAAAAAATATTCTATACGTTCTATCAAGCACTAGAAACAAAATAAGGGACAAGAAAGTATAATTAAATTCGGCAGGTGATTTTCAATCCTTTTCGTTTCTAAAATGTAAATACTTGCCAAAAGGTATAATACTTGTTTCGGTGATATAAGAAAGAAGAAAAGAAATAGATATAATTTTGATTGATTTACAAAAATAATAATAGTGTCAAAATCACTAAAAATTCTCAGATACCTACAAATTCTCATAAATAAAATCTTTAAAAATTTTCACAGATACCTAAAAGTTTTCTACTGCTTGAAAACCGCTAAATTCAGTTTCAATATCCACTTAATTTGACAACAATTCAATTAACAAAAATTGAGATAATTCTGTCGCCTTTAAAATTTATTATTCTATTTTCAGAAAGCATGTCAAATTATAGCACCAATAAAATTCCGGAAACATCAAAAATTTGTAAGAATAAATTAACGTATACCTACAATCACAAATTATAATGTCCGTCCAACAACTTTGACTGTGGTTTTGTAACTAATGGAAACTGACAAACGAAGAATGTATATTTGTTTTGTTTCCTCAGTCAGATCTCGCGGGGAATAACTGAACCAATCTAGTGATAATGATGAATACCCTTTTATGTTGTACACGCGAGATTAAACTGTTATCATTGTCTCATGGACAATTTTGTCGCGTGATCAACATCTCGCGTAAGTAAATTAAAACTCCAAAAACGGTGATCGAGAAACATAGAAATTCTGAGTCACTACTTTGATCTCTACGGGCTTCCCCGGTTCACAAAGAACAACAGAACACTATTATACCGATACGAAGTACGAAGGCCACGTATGAAAGGGAACACGTTACTTTGTATCATCGCTATTGTTATAAGGTGTTCATAATACATTGTATTCATAGAATAAAGCATGATTTAAAAAAAAAAATAACTAAAAGGAGAAGATTACAAATTGCGCTGACAGAGAGTTCTATTTTTCAGGGCTATGTTATGTTATAATAGATTCCAACGTAACTTCATTATGGTAACTGTGATGCAATATGATACAATTAAGTAACCGATATATTAATACAATATATTATATACGTTATAATATAATATGAATAATAATATATTAATTATTATTATATTATAATATATTTATATTAATATATTCATTAAGAATGGGTTTTTCGAAAAATGGGAACCTCAAAACCCTTTGAAATCCTTCGAAATCCAAGAAAGCTTGAAGTTTCGAGAATTCGAAATTGTATTTCTGTTTATTCAAAATTTTCGAAATTCAAGTAAGAAAAAATATAAAATCTCTTTTAAAAAAAGTGTACTCTCTGAAATACTTATCAATAACATCAGTACTATAATCGACACAAAAAAGAAATAATAATAATTGGATCCAGAAAAATTTGAATATTAATGTTCTTAAATATTATTATATATTGTACTCTTATTGTATATCTCTGTGTTTTGTTTTGTTTACAACATTCCAACATTCTTTTACTAGCTTAACAAATTCTTTCATTCCCTATGCATCTTAACAACATCACAGCTGACAAAATGAAATTGGAAATGACTAATTGTAAGAATATATAATCAATGGAATGTCAGTACGCATTTCATATATTCTAATCGAACGTGTGTGATAAGCGGTGACAGACAATTTAACTGTATTCGCATTGGTGACCCCCGATGACCCACACAGCGGACTTCCCCAACACAGAGCGAGTTGATTAAAACCGGATAAGAAACCCACGGTGATCCCCCGGCTAGTAGTACTACAAAGGAAACAGGGAAAAAGCTTCAAGCTAAAATTCGTATATAAGAGCAAGCTGTCGCCGGATGTATCATAATTCGATCAGCTCCTCAGACAAGAGCATAGCGATCTTGTGCCTAAGTGTTCAAAACGAACCAAGCAACTCCTTCAAGATGAAATCCAACGCTGTATTTGCTCTTGCTCTCTTCTGCGCTGTTGCACTCGCAGCTGCCCAAACGGAAACCGGGGAACAAGTATATGTGGAAGAATCATATGTAAGTATACTTTATTCTATTGGATCAATTTTGAAATTGTTATTATATATGGAAATATTAAATGCAATACCTGAATGATACCAGTCTGAGGATAATACCTGTCCATTACTTTCTCGTTTGTCTTATATTAAAACGTGGTATACTAAACCATAGAGAAATTTGTAATTGTATTATAATTTGAAGATTAAATTTTGTCTGATAGAAGATGCAGATATACCTCTGACAGTAATTTAAAAAGTTTTTAAGTCATCATTTAATTGTAGATTTCGTATGTACTTATTTAATCTTCTGTAAAAGAGAAAAATATATGTTTAGTCTGTTAGCTAAAAGAAATATGTTATATTCAGAGATCAATACTTTTGAATCTTGAAACACTCGCATATACTCGTAATGCCGTGACCAAAGAAATATATTACATAAAGAAAAAAGGAATGATACAGAGATCATAGAATATCAGTGTCATGATTTTAATAAACTGGTATCATCAAACTATCTAGTATTAAATAAACAAAGTCCTGAAGTTCACATCAAATGCTATTTTTTATACCATGTACCAAGAAAATTTTAAAATTCATATCAAAAGTCTGGCACCAGCATCAAGAATTAACAACAATTCTAAGATTCGTATCAAAAACCATTTCTTACCTCAATTACCATTAACTAAAGTCCTAAAATATTCTCACAGCTATCACCCTGTATCATCTCCTCCTAACAATCCTCAACAACTTCTCGCTACTCCCCCATCTCAAATCCCTTTTCCCATTAATCCTAAATACGTTCCATCAAGCAAGTTCAAATTCCTTTCCTTATTAATCACGAAGTTATCTCTCCACCAGGAGTCTCCCCGTGTCCGAAGAGAGGCCGATCCCCAGGGGTCCATCGTCCTCCACGGAAAAAAACCCTTGAGCGGACCTGACCGTAGACCAACCTTGAGCGCGGACTATGAACATCGTTTCTACGACAAGAACGGAGTGAACGCAAATGCTTATGGTGGAATAATCAAGCAACCAGGACAACATGCCACGTCTCGCGCTGGCCTTTCGCTCGAAAAGAACTATAAGAACGGCTTCATCAGGGGATACAGCGATGTCCAACGTGGTTCAGGCGGCAGATACTCGCCAAACGTTGGAATTGATGGTGGATTCCGATTCAGACGAGACGTTGACAACGTCGAAGAAGAGCAGGAGGAAGAAGAGGTAATGGAAGGACACGAGCAAGGATACTAAGCACTCGTTTTTCATTTGGTTCACCAAATCTCGAAAATTCTTTTTCACATTAATCCCAAATACGTTTCACCAAGCATATTGTAGTCCCTTTCCTCATTAATCGCGAAGTTTTCTCTCCACCAGGAGTCTCCCCGTGTCCGAAGAGAGGCCGATCCCCAGGGATCCATTGTCATCCAAGGACAAAAACCCCTGGGCGGACCTGACCGTAGACCAACCTTGAGCGCGGACTATCAACATCGTTTCTACGACAAGAACGGAATGAACGCAAATGCTTATGGTGGAATAACCAAGCAACCAGGACTACCTGTCATGCCTCACGCTGGCCTTTCGCTCGAAAAGAACTATAGGAATGGCTTCATCAGGGGATACAGCGATGTCCAACGTGGTCCAGGCGGCAGATACTCGCCAAACGTTGGAATTGGTGGTGGATTCCGATTCAGACGCGACGTTGACAACGTCGAAGAAGAGCAGGAGGAAGAAGAGGTAATGGAAAGACAGGAGCAAGGATACTAAGAACTCGTTTTTCATTTGGTTCACCAAATCTCGAAAATTCTTTTTCATATTAATCCCAAATACGTTTGACCAAGCATATTGTAGTCCCTTTCCTCATTAATCGCGAAGTTTTCTCTCCACCAGGTGTCTCCCCGTGTCCGAAGGGAGGCCGATCCCCAGGGATCCATCGTCCTGCAAGGACAAAAACCCTTGGGCGGACCTGACCGTAGACCAACCTTGAGCGCGGACTATCAACATCGTTTCTACGACAAGAACGGAATGAACGCAAATGCTTATGGTGGAATAACCAAGCAACCAGGACTACCTGTCATGCCTCGCGCTGGCCTTTCGCTTGAAAAGAACTATAAGAACGGCTTCATCAGGGGATACAGCGATGTCCAACGTGGTCCAGGCGGCAGATACTCGCCAAACGTTGGAATTGGTGGTGGATTCAGATTCAGGCGCGACGTTGACAATGTCGAAGAAGAGCAGGGGGAAGAACAGGTGGTGGAAGAACAGGAGCAAGAATACTAGGAGCGCGTTTCTCACTTGGATCACCAAATCTCGACAATGGCTCATACTGACTGCATTTATTAGCATTTAACGATTATTTATTTTGCATTTATTTTGTTGCGATTCATGTATTTTAAGCGGTATTCCACTAATTGGTAAGACTACGGATTGTACATATTGTTATTATTGAATAAATATAATGGAATAAATCAAATCGACCAATTTTTTTCTACCGATTTTTTCTGGCCACTATCGACTAAGGGTAAACGAACTTGTCCAGTGCGAATGAACTTTTAGTATGCTGAGTATAAATGATAAGCGTTTGGAATAGAGCTACAGCTCTTGATAGCCTGGCTCGCGAGCAATGAGGTTACAGTTGCTCCAATACACGTATAATAGTGGATGTTACGAGATATAATAAAGTGTCTTTAATGATTTATTTGGATCGGTATGATTTTCACCACTTTTTGTTTATTATCTCCTTTTTTTCTTCTTCCTTGAACAAGGATATTGGGTTAATTGTCTGACTTACTTCCCTCTTTTTATTTCCAAAAATAAGAACACAGTAATTAATAAGAAAAAGAGGAGATAAAAATAATAACGAACATTGTTGATTTTTATTCTATTACTACTATTTTTAGAAATATGCATCCAGTTGTGAAAAGAAATAAATGATAGATAGGAGAAAAGGATATAAAATCAATCAACAGATAGAATTCGTTTCGAAACAAGATATTTAAATGGAAATACCGAATTCTGAATATGAATAAATGATACGACGTACTGCCGATCTATCTTAATTTTATGACTGAAAAACAAACACCATAATTGGTCAAGGTTAATCGGTCATTGAATGTTACCGATAAAAGTACGGACCGAAGCAGCGAGCTAACAAAATTTATGGAATAATTAATTCGAGCAATTTTAAAACGATCGTAAAAAGCGACAGTCTGATAGCAAAATACTATAACACTTGGTTATGAAACGTTTAAAGAGGCAGCAGCTTGTAACGGAATAAACTGGGTCTCTGATGTACCAACGTGAAAAAAAAAGATTTTCCAAGCCAATAATTTATATATAACCTGCCAATAGTCGATGTTATAAAAAGTACTATAACAAATAGATTTAACCTACACGATCGCTATAAGTCGTCAAACAGTATCGTAACACCCTAAGCACCATTATCTATTTGAACTTCGTTTGATAATCGTTCGATGTAGAATGACCAATTGAGAACGTTAATACACACGTGACTGTGTTTCATCAAGTCATTGTAATTGTGATAAATTTCGCTTTACACTCAAGACGTAAGAATTGCAAGTTGAATTCATCGAATACGAGCATCGTCGACGGTCGACGATACTTGTATGACTTTTAGAACGTCTATAAAAATATATCGGGCATACAGAATTTATGATTCCATTGTTAGCAAGAAATGAGTACAGATAATTTTACATTAAGGTTACGAAATGATGCCTACTATGATTCGATTAATAGTTCAATAATCATCGAAGCATAAACGCTAAGATGTAGCTGGCAGTGCACAGTAAAGGCAGCTTTCAACTGCTATTTGAAATAGTACTTCTAAACGTGCATTAGTGAAACATACAATAACAAAATACTATAAGATAACGATAACATAGCAGTTTTCAATTATCCAATTCTAACCAAGGATCTTCAATCATTCTTTTTTACAATCAGATCATCACATGATGAATTTTCTTTCTCCTTCCAAGGAGATGAATTATTATATAAAAACGCAATTAAAGATAGTGTTTCATAACTTTTTCCTCAATTTCTGGCACACATTTAACCATCCATATATTAATTTCTTTATGCCAGTGTTTTATAAAAGGTCTTTTGTAGCGTTACTAAGAAATTATTTTATCAGTTAAATAACTTCTTAAGTAGATAATAATATATGTAATATCTAGATTATATGCTGGATTTTCTTCAATCAAGTTTCTTCAATTTTTCTATCTTAGCAAGTACAGAGGTGCATTGATCTAATAGAAGGAGATTCTTCTTTTGTTTTGTCAGCAAATCTGAGCATTTTATTCTCAATGCTGACTGTTAAGCGATTCTATTGTTCACGCTAGATTTCTGTAGAAATTGTTTTGTTCGATTCTAGTAATTCAAGGTGTATTATATACCTTGTATATCCCATCCAATACTTGCATTGTTAACAGGTTGCTGGCTAAATTTCGCAACTGTACAATATTTTTCTGGATGTAACCATTCATTTTTACGTTTAACATTATACACGTATCATTAATTTTTTTATTTTCTGTCACAATTCTATCCAAGAATATTTCTTAAGGTTTCTCAAATGAGATTGAGACTCACGACATTTATCCTTGTAAGAAATTTATAGACGATTCAGAGACGTCCAAGAGCCAGTTCTTCGATTCTCACAATTGGATTTTGTAACTGTAATTTCCATTCTAGAAATCTTTAAATCTTTGATATATTTGACGTGTACCAATTACACTTCTCTCATAAACTTCATGTATATATATTGCAACTGTTATAGCTGCATTTTTCCCTCCATTGAATTATTCATATACTATATATGCTAATACTATACTATTCATCTACTATATATAAGAGCAACTTCACTGGTATGTAGTGTAAGATTTTGCAAAAACGATAAACCTAAAACAACAAGCTACGATATGTACATAAGTAGGATAATATTAATACAAACATGAACACTACGAATAGCTCTAACTCTAATATTATCACTAGTTAGATAATTAAAATGGTACGATAAAAATAAAGAATTGTGTTTACATTTTTATCGCAATAAAGGTCGATATTAATTAGGTTGGAGACATGTGCATGGATTTGGTAAATATAATAATAAAAAAAATTTTAACCCCGTTATTTTAATATATTTCGTAAATTATTAATGTGAGATTTGCTTTTTTAAAAATATGAAATAATACAGAAAATATTCTAAAGTTTACTTCACTCTACACCTATTACGAATAAGAAATTTATATCTATTCAATTTTCATTTGTAACTGAAGCTGTACTACACCTAATTTTCATTATACTTTGAATTTATAAAATCTGCAGTGTTACGTGTTAAATTTTCATATTCATTTCACAGAAATCCAACATAGGATCGTATGAAAGTTGAATTTAAAATTCCATTAAAAACGAGAACGGTGACACAAAAGATACGCGAATACGAAGTCGTGCGAATTAATTCGCATATTATAAGGAAAACGAAAAACAAGTAAAGCACGACATGAAATTAATCATTATATATAAGCTCACAAAAGTAAATGATTTTATCTCGTCATTCGACCAATCACCTAAAGGCAGAACGTCGTACCATCGAGCAAAGTACTAAACTTTATGTTAAAACTGTATTTTGTCATCACGTTGACAATTATTAAGTCACAGATTATTCTCCTATCGTGCAAAATATTCGATTTTTCTTAGATTTGCTTTTTATTTATCTTGTCTTCGTTAAAAGCGTCATAAACTTTCAAAAAATCAGTTTTTGTTAAAAATATTAAATCTCCTTTGACCATCCATTTAATTTTATTCGAGTAATTCTATTCCTGTTCCCAAGGAATTATAGCTTAGAACTAAAATACTCCTCTTTTAGTTCTAAATCCTCAATAATTAAATATATATAAATTTGAAAATATAAAATAGATGTATGTTTAAAATGAAATAATTAAATATTCCATTTAAATTTCTCAACGCTATCTGCTATATCAAGAGAAGCATGAATCTATACAGTTGGACCTAACTACCCTGAACTCCCTACTAACTCTATTATTTCCAATGAATCTTCGAGCTATCCTTTTAAATCAAGCTAAACCAGCACTCGTAGGATTATCCTTCTCCTGGATTCGTGATACCCGACCATTTCTCAAGCTCTTTCGAGAAAGACTTTTCCACGTGGCCATTACATTCCAGAGGTATACGTATACGTACTAAAACGCAGATCCGTTTTGAACAAAGCCGTCAGTGACGAATAACTTTCCTACGTGGCCAATGAAATGTGATAACGCCAACCGTGAGATCACTTACGTGATTGATTCTGCGATCGCGTGCAGATTTTCCTTCACCCTCGTTAGACTACTTTCGTGATTAACCGATTATAGTGCACTAACTCTGCGCACGCATACTACAGCATGCTGTGATAGCACATATTAATACGGTCATTGAAACGTTACCATTTCATGCTAACACGACAACGACCTTTCATACGATACTACGCTCGTTAAAAATAGCGGAATTCCGTGATGCATGTAAAAAACACTGAATCCGGATAAAAGATCTTCGTGATTTCGATCGATCCACTCTTCGTTTTCTCGTATCGTTTTAAACACAGCTACATTCCGAAATAGAACTGTGGAAGAAAAAAGAATTTTAAAAATAGAATCAGAGAGGTTAACGCATGTTTGTATCATCTTTATCGGCATGAAATTGCAAACTTTTCGAATGTACATATAATTTAATATATCATACCGTGGTGAAAGTAAACTTTGCGTACTTGAAACACCGAATGATCAATTTAATCGTTTACATCGTGGCGTTAGAAACAGCGATAGATTCACTGGTATGACTGTTTCTTTGATTTAAATATAGTAACTAATTCTTCCATCAGAGGCGCCACTGACGACTCGTGCCAATCGATTTGTCAATCGAATATTTTGCGCACCAAGAAAAAAAAAATGCTTATTCATAACTTTTATAAAATATCTTTCTTTGCAAGTCATGAAGAGAATAATCTATATTTTTATTTCCTACGAATAATTCGTCGATCGACAAAACTTGATTGCTTTGATAAATACATCTCGTGCTAAGTTAATTTTATAATCATTTTTTCCCACCTTTGCAATCATGCAATCTCAGATTTGTAATTATACGTTATTTCCTTTTTTCAAGTTTGTCGTAGCTATGCCGAATGCCAGAAATAATCATTTTTTCCCACCTTTGCAATCATGCAATTTCAGATTTGTAATTATACGTTATTTCCTTTTTTCAAGTTTGTCGTAGCTATGCCGAATGCCAGACTCGAAGAGAAACAGTCCATCAACTTCCTGAATGAGTTAATTGGTCCTCCAAGACCTAATTAGATTTTAGAGTGTCCTGTTCACGAATGACTGAATTGA